TTGGAAGAAAAACAAAAAAAAAAAAAAAAAAAAACCAATTTTCAAAAGGAAAAAAAAAAAAAAAAAAAAAAAAAAAAAAGCAGAAAGAGCCATTGTTCCTTGTAGTTTTTTAGACTGCATTAGATGGAAGTCTGTGAGCGAGTCGAGTCTTGTGTTGACACACCGGACTGGAAATTTTGCTGAGACCCTGCAGTTCAATATTTATCAGTAAAAAAAAAACAAAACAAAAAAAAAACACTACAGGTTCAGACTTTTTCTGCAAAATTGATCAAAACTCTCAAACATATTTTCAATAAACTACAGTGAATCCGGATGAAAAGTTATCCAAGAATAGCACATGTCTTCTTTTGTTAAAGTAAAAAACTAACATGTGCAGAAACAACGGAGGGAACTTAAATGATGGGAATTCGGTGTCTCTTATATGCTGTGGGGACCAATTTGCCGACATGGCTGATATGGTTCGTCTCCGCCCTTTCATGGTTGATGCCCTGTGCAGTCGCCAGGTCTCCATTTTAGTTACCCATCAGGGATATTTAGGGCTGGAAAACATCTCACCGCCACTATGAAAGCAGTGAACGGTGGAACATCTCGAGAGATCTTGCATGTTGGCTAAATGCCCAATTAAAATGTTAACTTTTCTTTTTTGTTGTGAACCTTTATGTTCCATTAAAATGATTTTATATTCCCATAACATCAGTGAAAGCGTTGAAATTACTTACTAAGGAATGCTGGTCATAGGTTGCTGGGTCCATGGACGCCGAGCTTCCACGCCGAGACTCCGCGCGGCCGCTCCCCGTCTCAGAAACACCCAGTCCAGCTTCTCCATGCTGAGTTATCCCTTCTCTGTACATGAGCTCCTCCTCTAAGATGGACTCGGGCCCCAGGGAGCTCTTCGGCGTTGGCATGGGAGTGGCAGCTGTGTGCATTATTATGGGAGGAGCCATAGTGCCACGAGGGTCAATGTGACCATTGGAGGTCATCATCAGAGAGTACATCTTAAGCTCTATGGATAAAGATTACTAGATTATTAGTCGAATACTTATTTCAAATCAATCAGCTTCAGGAAAATAAAGCGCCTGATGATTAGAATGTTTTGGATTTTTATTTTATCTACCCGTGTCTCTGAGTTGTTCAACTTTGTCGTCCTCGTCAAAATTGTCGGATTTCTTTTCATCGTCTGACTCTGATCGGTTGGCATCACCCTATAAGACACAATTATGTACATAGAAAATGAACCCATGTACGAGTTGCTGACTCGGATTTTTGATTTTGCACTATATTGTAGAAAAAGCCAGGACAGTCAGAAAAAAACAACAGAGTCATTCTCACCTCAGCCTGGAAGCCTTCGACCAAGATGGCGACCAATAAATTGAAGAGCACATAATTGCCAAACGTCATGAGAGCAACGAAGTAGAGAGCCGCCCATGGAGAGGTAGAAGCCATGCCGTTGTACAGCACCACGTTCCAGTCCTCCTGGGTAAGGATCTGGAGTGTGGATTAAAAAAAAACAAAAACAAAAAAAACACAGACAGAGATTTAGGGATGAAGACGGAGGGGAAGTGGAGGAGAAGAGATGGATGACAGCAGAAATAAAAGAGGACAGAAGAAGGACGTGTAATTAAAAGGCAAGGAGTAGTGAGTTGAGGAATAAAAGCAGCACGAGCCAATATGTTAAACAGCACATGAATCGATTATATGCTTTATAAAGCCCAGTAACGAGCTACTTACATCGGAACAATAATCTAATTTAAGGAACCTATTGGACTGCAAGTCGCGACAAGTGGAAGCAGCCGGATGTAAACGTCTGCCTTTCTGTGCCTGCAGTTGGATAAACATGACTGACGGAAGAGTCCAAATCTGCACACGGCGTTCATGTAGGCTGGCTCTGCCTACTCGTTTACCACTCTGGGCTAAAAGGCAGAGTCCCTCTGTGCAGCTTCTGTGAACTACGATACGCATCTCTGCACAGATCTGTGTGGGTTTTCGTTTTTTTTTTTCTGCTCGCACACCTTAATAACTATAGTAAAAGTGTACAAAGTACGAAGCGAGTGGAACTTTCTCAAATGACAGCTGGCGGTGGATAAAATGCCTCTTCAGCACCAAAGAGAGTCCACTGCAATGTGCCTTCCACCCTTCTGCTGACGCATCCCGTGCAGAAACAGAAAAATGGATCTGGAGCAATTGAACAATGTCTCCGCGGGGAGGTGGAGCAAAAAATAGAAATCATGTTGAGGGATAGATGCCGCGTGCAATTAGATACAGTTTTTGCATTTCAAAGCAGGCTTGGGGCAATTTCACATGCATATAAAGACCCTTTGGAGTTGTATTGACATGTGGGATGCCTAAGTAAAACAAAGGGTGGACACACGATGTTCCTACTGTGTTTCTTGTGTGTTTACTGTGCAAACACTCTGCTGCTTTATTTAGCTATTTCCATTTCTTTGAGATTAGGAAAAACTCACTGCAATGTTTGAGAATTATTTTAAAGAGCGATCAAGATAACTAGCTAATTGGGTAATGCATAACTAAAGATAGACATGTAAATACTCTATAAAAAAAAAGACATTTTTCCCCTCACTGACAATAAATCAGACTAAAGGTTTCTTGATTAGATCAGATCCAAAATTATTTTTATTTACCAGTAAAATGAGGAAAAATAACTTTTCATTAAATCATACAAACCAAGAAGCTACAAACACTTAGATTACAAATTGGTAAAGAAAGTTCAGATGTCCTTTTACACAAAGGGAGAACAAAAATTGTCAAGATAGGTAAAACTATCTTGACAAGGAAGATCTATCCTCGTCAAGATGGATCTTCACAAGGATCTATCTTGTGAAGATCCTGGCTGAAGCTGGTGTCATTATCCTCAATGTTATGTTAAGAATGAAATTCAGAAAAAAAATAAAAAATAAAAAATTGCCTAAAACAGAGGAGTAAACACAAGGGAAATAGAAAAACTCACCTGGAATACAGTGACAATGGCCCAGAGAAGCGAGTCAAAGTTTTTGCGATCAGGAATGGTGTCTCCGTTCTCCATTCTTTGACTAAATTTACATCCGAAGAGATGCATGCCGAGTATACTGCGGAAACACAAGAAATGCATTAAAGACCCTCTGAATGCAAAGGAGCAGACAATGTTGATGGCACCGCTAAAACAGAGGAATCCAATCGAAATAAATTAATCTTTTTTTCAGTGATCTCACACTAAAAATGTCAAAATACAAGGTGGAACAATTGTTAACACCCTTAAGTTCCTTTTAAAATAAATTTGCTTAAAACACTTGACCAGAGTTTTTAGAAACTTCCGATTTGTAATCTATGACTTTCAGTTTCCTCATGGTAATGATGTGACACAGAAAACCTCTTCCTCTTAGCCACATGTCACTAGCCTGGATAAGGATCCATGTTCCTCTTCTCCAAACAGAATGAGTTGGATTCTTAAAAAAACCCTTTAAGCCTCTCTTGGTTAGAGAACTGGAGCAAAAGATGGCATGTTGGGGGTCACTAACTCTCTAAACCAGCTATCCCGCTCACTGACTGGTTGTTATGGGTGGATTCCAGACAAAAATTGTATTTTTTGTCTTACCATCACAAACGTAAAATATGGATTTTTCAAAAATCTTCTGAGACTAACATAAATAATGTTATACCTGTCAAACTCGGACATGCTGTGCATACTCTGTGAGCTGATTCGGCTGTAGACGGTTGAGATTTCATAGCTTTTTAGCAATTTTGTTATTCTTCTCGACTTGATCATACTTGGGCTACCTTCAGTTTTACAATGACAATCTCAGGCATTACTGTTTGCAAGCATATTAGTTGTGTATTATAATAGTTCACAAGGATGATGGTGGCTCCTTAAACTCTGTTTTATTTACCACATATGTTCAAAACTTGGATCTGGGAATGATATTGAACCAAACTTAACAATGTACTCATTCAAAACCAGTGGAATTTCCTAATTGAGGTGTTCAGGGACCGTGCTGTCTGGAAATAACAGCACGCATTCCAACAATCTTTCAATATGTTCCTCAAAGGACGTTTAGACACTGTATGTGTGTGTGTGTGTGTGTGTGTAGGTGTGTGTGTGTGTGTGTGTGTGTGTGTGTGTGTGCGTGTGTGTGTGCGTGCGAATCATCTTGGATCTTGAAGTCTTTTCCGTGACATGCCACAGTAAATTGAAGAAAAAAAAAAGTCAAGTTGTCCAATGGTTTCATTAAGTCTGTCTGAATAAGCTGCTCTATAGTCGATTGGTATTTGTTATAATAAATTTGAGAACCAGTTATCTGAAAAGTGCAATGTGCAACTGTCTGCTGTAACTGTGTGAAATGATATAGGATTATGTTATCCTTCTGGATAAGGTGTGAAATAAAATATCATAGGTACCCATAAGTGATTCTGTTTAAATAATAAAATGTGTGTGTCTCAATTTGTTCTTGAATAAACCGTCATATAAATCTGTACTTCATACTTTCTGTATGAAATCATGTTAGCAAACTTGACCGTGTCTCGGTGTGTTTACAGGATGAAAGCAACGGCATCAATGCATGGACAAACAAGCAGGAGGGACAAACAAGCAGGAGGGACAGCAGATTTCCCCATTTCTGCACCTGAAGGTGAAGATGAAGAGCATCAGCAGCATGCAGAAGGTGGCCACGTTGTCCATGGTCTTCATCAGCACCACCAGCTGCCTCCTCAGGGCAGGCAGAAAGCGTACGAGCTTCAGGACTCGCAACAGGCGAAACGTCCGCAGGACCGACAACCCTCCGTCCGCTTGACCTATTATCTCCCACACACTGAGAAACATAAACAAAACAAAACAAAATAATAAAAAAAAAAAAATAAATAAAAACAGCTCGTCTCTGAAATGAACAAGTGAATACATTTAAAAATCTGTAAAATCAAGATTAGGAAGTTATTACGGAGCAACATTACCTTATGATGACGATGATGCTGTCAAAGATGTTGTAAGGGTTTCTGATGTATCCAAACAACCCAAAAGCCAGCAGCATGAAGCCCATCTCCAGCACAAACATGCTGGTGAAAACAATGTTGCTAATCTCCAACACATCAGTCAATTCTTTGGGCTGGAGGGGGAGAGAAGGAGAGAGGAGAGATTAAAAGTAAAAAGCAGAGTAGGAAAAAGAATGAAACAGACAAAAAACAAGCAAAAAAAAAAACAACAAACAAACAAAACAAAAAAAATCTCTTTTATCGCTAAACTCTAAAACTCTTTTGGCTCCTTGTGACCTGAACAGAGAAATTATCAATCAAGTTCAGAGCTGCGGTCAGGCCACATCAGTCGAAGAGTTCCAACCGCACCGATGCGTCACTGCTGATTTACTGCGCTCACCTCACAGTATGGTCAATGATCCAGAAAAAGATTTGACTGAGCCTCCTTCTGCCCCCCATAAAGCATGCATTCAATTCTTTTATGGAAAATTCAGCAATTTTTGACTCAGCTAAATGCATTATGGAACCATGCGTGGCTTGAGGTAAAGGTTTGGGAATAGGTTCTCGTAATTAGTGGTAACAAATTTGTTTACACTTTTGCTTTAAGAAAAAGCACACACACACACACACACACAAAAACATTGAGATATTAACCTACGTAGCTGAAAAAATGGAAAGGAGTATGCCCTAACACACAAGATGTATAGCAAAAAACTTATTACAGAAAAATTTGGTTGTTTCTTAAGTAAAAACTACAAGTGATAACAAAGAAATTAGTTATTAAATAACATGTATGACACAATAGAGGGGTGACAAACAGCTGCAAAGCTAAAATGTTGGACTTGGACATTTTCTAAATGTATTAAATGTTTACAGCACATTGTCCTTTTTGTTTTATATTTGGATATATATTCAGTACAGGAAGGTTCATTTATACATATAAAAAATGTAAGCACATTCAACATTGCAAGCAGTGAGAACAGCTCAAACTGTACAAATATATTTTTAAGAACCCACTTCTGCAGAAATTTCAGTTGCATCATTTTGTTCTCTTTTGCTTGTTATATTTTGCCTCCAGTTTTCCAGCTGGACAGTATCATGGGCTCTTGGCAACGAGCTTTATGCAGTCCCAAAAATTTACATGTAATGAATAATTATGATCCCCATATGACTGAATCTTTCTTAATCATAAATTCTTAAACTCTGCTTTCTGCCCCAAAGTGGGTGAAGCCCTGAAGCCTGAGATCCAAAAAAAAAATAAAATAAAAAAATAAATCATCTCATGTCACGCAAGGGAGACTCATTAAAAGATATTGCATTTCTTTTCTTGTGGGGATCAACAAACTCTGCTCCTTGCGCTTGGCGATGCCGAGTCCAGACCAGTGGAGACAGAAAAGGAGATGGAAAATGTTTAAGACTAAAGCGGAAGGGATTAATTTACAAAAAATCCTATTATGACAAATCAGAATTACCCTTTTAGTCCCATGGGTAATTCTGTTCCTCCATCACCCTGAAAATATATACGCAATATGATTAACTGGATAAACATTTGGATTCTTCATAAGCTGCGTGGAAACGAGCAGCGTTGCGAATTGTGTGCTGCAGAGCACAACGTCACTGATGGCGAACGGCAACACAAAATCGAACTGGTTTCCGAAACGGGAACGTGACACAGTAGCATAACCATAATTTTAGGGTCAGGACAGAGGAGGACATCTCCCCTCAATTTTGCATCAGGCAATTTTTGATTCCCCTGCAGATTCTGCCACTCAAAAACAGTGATAGGCCATATTAAATGGATACAGGTCGAGCACTAGTTCCAAAAAGAAAACGAACACTCAAGGTTGAAGCTTTAAACCGCCTGTAAGCTCTCCGGTTGGCTCTGAAGTTTCTCGCTAATGTGTCCTTAGTCGCCCCTGCAGTCACTCCGTCTTGCTGCAAAAGGCACATAAATGTATCTGGTCAGGACTCTGGGTGGCCTGGCCAGAAAGTCGTTAACATGTTGGCCGTTTCTTTGAACGGATCAGACAGATTTTAATATCAGAGCTTCCACATACAGTAACGTTTGAATCTGTGTCTGTGCTTCACTTGTCGTTAGTGGTAATGCTTTTATTCATGCTCATGTTATATAATTGCTTTATCCTTGAAAAGTGTCTCAGTTTTATTAAAAGTCCAGACAAATAAAATGTGGCGGTAATATTATTATTATTGCTGTGAACTGTAGGACCTCAGCAACAGCAACACAGCCTCAGCTTAACGCCAAAGAAATACTTTTTCTTTCATTTTTTTCTTCGTTTTTTTTTTTTACTTGTGTGTTAAATTACACATAAATGACAGTACCAACCAAATCTATGAGGACTGCTGGTTTTCTTGGTAGTAAAATGCAACCCCCCCCCACTCCAAATAGCAGTTTGAGTGGACTTATGTATATTCATCTTCAAATGGCACTTTACAGTCCATTCAGTGACAAAACTATGGCTCACAAAGTAGGTCAAATCAATGCAAAACAGCTGAAAAGGCACAAACATGTGAGCTGAAGATAATGACACATCAATGCTTGAGTTGTTTAGCTGATATTTTTTTTTTTTTATGATCCAGAACTATTTGGGGAAAACTAATTTCCACCTCCTGGCCTGGTAAAAAAAAAAAAAGACAACACTGCACAAAAAGCAATACTGGAGTAGTTTAAGGATCAGAAAAGCAGGATTTAGAGATTGTGCTATTATATTAACACCAGCATCATTTCATTTAGTACTATGTTCCCTCAGGTAATGATTCTAAACTGTCCTTATTAGACAAGCACTTTCATACACAATGGTGCGTCTAAACACAACACTGTTACCAGTGCACAAGAGGTTAGATTTTGAATATCAATAATCATCTTAAACAGCTCTGAATTTGACCTTGCTTTTTGGATATAAAGATGAAAATCAGAACAAGATGAGGGATTCACACCCACACATCCGGCTTTTGTTGCAAAGCAAAGAGTTGTGATGTTGATCATGTATTTTGGCTTATGGGACAAACACAAAGAGGCACATCAGTCTAAGACAGGAACAACAATTTGTTGTGTGCAAATTTATATCAAGTCAGTTATCTAATATTTTTTCTGGTTCTTTTTTTTTAAGTTTTCCTTTGGATTTAATCGCAATATAATTACATCATCAATACCATCACAATAGACTGTATCCCTCAACAAATCAGACTTATTGACAATAAAATGTCATATTTGGTATCAATATGACACTTACTAGAAGTGGTGTAAATTGAAGACACTACATTTGAGCACACAAGCAATGTTTGACATTTTAAAGTTACGTCTGCCTCTGGAAAGATTTAATTTGTCTGGTAAAACAAGGTTAATATGAGTCATAGATAAATCTCACCACCCTCTATCAATGTTTGAGTTTTATTTTGAAGTAAGAGAGGAAGTAGCTCTTTAGTTGTTTATGTAGTTTGATAAAATCTACTAATAAAAGGTGTGTGTTCGGCTGGCGAACAACATTTGGTTACCAAATCCATGAAGTCTACAACTTCTGGCAGCATGGAGCAAAAAATGCTCCATGCAAAAAATGCAAAAAATGTTAACAGAAGAATAAATTAAAACAATTTGTGTAAGAATAAAATACTCTTACTGTGGCGAGCCATTAGGGGCTACTGATGCTAAAATTAGGATGCAATTTAATGCGCCCTACCTGTGGAAAACAAAACAAAATAAACTCCACTGTGAATTTTTTTTTTTTTTTTATCTGATAATTTCTCACTAAAGGGAACTTCTTAGATTGAAAATGGCAAGATTATTAGCTTTGAAAAATGCTTACACAGTATTGACTTACAGTGAAATAATAAAAAACAAAAAAAAAAACAAGTCTACCTCTAAGTTTGAGTCAGTCTGATATACACAACCAAAACACACTAACTCGACACGCCATCAGTTCAAGGTCTCCTACATTCATAGAGCCTCTATGGACACAGATTTACAATGTGAGGCTGAAAAAAAAAATTGGCTAGGTGTCACAAATGGAGGTAGAGGGGCGCTACAGTGAGAAGGAGCTCATAAATAACACTTCACTGTGTTTACATGGATGTAGTATTGCCCTAAAAAGGCAACGGCTCTCCCAGTCTTTCCCCATGTTTACATCACAAAGACAAAAGTGCACACGTTTTGCCGTGAGAGAAAACTGAAGGAGACTGAGGCGAGGACAGCAAAGAGGGGAAAAAAAAAAAAAAAAAAAAATCAAAACCCGGCGTGAATCACATCCGAGGACCCGCACAATCCAAGTGTCAGCCAGAAAGAATAATAAAAAAAAAAAGAGCACAAGCCAGGAACCTGACACCTAACTCATGTCAAGGTGTTTTTATGTATGAGAAAGAGGAAAAGTTTAGTGAAGAATGGTGCTAAACTAAGTTTGTTTTGATGTTAAGACTCATCTAAAACACATCTGTACTCCCCAATATGAAAAGAAACATTAAAAAACTTTCTAATGTGTTCTTTTATTATTTTCTTTTATTTTTTTCCTCTTTTCTTTTTGTAACTTGCCGTCATCATTTCTGTTCCGAGCATACAAATAAAGTTGAACGGTTTAGTGACCTGTCCACCCTGGTTTCAGACAAACAAATGCAACTTACAGACAATATGCCACGCAGAAACACAATGTGAATCTCACCTGTTCGTGGTACTCTATTCCCATGCTGAGGGTATTGACGAGGATGGCGATCATAATCCCCCGGTTGAAGTATTTACTCTCCACTATTCTCCTCAACTTTTCCCTGAAGTCTCTCCAGGCCTGCACAGCTCCGTTCCTGCACGCAACAACCCCCCGGCGCCGGAACAGACTTCTGATTCCCCGTAGATCGCCCCCCTGGAAGGTAGACGTTTCATGACGCCAACGTGTGCTGAATATTCAGTGATTACCAATGCTTTAAAAATACATGAAACGGTGATCAGAAATACACAAGCGTACATGCTAGAAACAAACCAACACGTTATCCAAGTTTACTACGTTTCCGACAGTATCGGCACCTAATCCTGACCTGCTGGAAGTCGCGTAGTCCATCAGCCTCTCCTTTGCCCCCCTCCAGGTCTCCTAGTTCCAGTTCCAGGGTCTCAAGGCTGCGGGCACACAGAGGGCAGCTAAGTAGCTCCAAAAGCAGAGGGCTGGGCACGACGCCTGCCAGCTGGATCAACAGCCTCTGGCGACCTTTAGACAGAAAGTGATAGGAATGGTCAGAACTCTGGCGAAGGAATGTTTCTGGCTGTTTTCATCCTGTGGGCTCTTTGGATCTTTAGTTATTTATATTTGCGTATGAGTACTGCTGGCAATAGCTGTTTAAAAAAAATCTGATTTACATTTTGAAGGTTAAACAGTCTATTTGGTACTTAAAGTTAGCAAATTAAAAAATACCGACTTTTATTACTTAGGCACAAGTGGCCTTAATGTACAACAATATATATATTTATTCTGTGGCATTAGTGGCCTTTATTCCACAGCCACCCATTAATCAGCAGTTGTGGAAGGGAAAGTGGATGCCAGTATCAGCCAGTATCCTCAGAGTGAACGATAAAATCTTGAAGTGAAATGTTGCTTGCTTTACTGCTATCAAAAGTTTTGAAGCGGGCGGTACAGCCCTGTTTAAAATCTCAAAACTGGAGTTGAAAATTCAACTATTCATCTTTCTTGCTGCTTGATCGATTGTGACCAGGTTGCAACATGAGCTTCGCAACACAGAAAGAAGACCAACAACAGAACAGAGCAGGCGAATTATTGAAAACAAAGGCCGAAGATCCAGGCTGTTCATTAGATGATCAAAAAACTGTAAAAAAAACATACTCCCAAACACCCCAAAATAAATTCTTAGAACGAATCATATGTCTGACGGTCATTGTGAACTGCATTGTTGTCCTGTTAAAAACCCAGTTATGACCACATAGAGGAATACCATCGGCTAATAAGTATTGCTGCTGCAATATCTCCAAGTAGCCATATGTGGTTTGACATTCTAACAAAACCTGAATCTTCACTGTTCCGTTGCAAAAACCCTCCCAGATCCTGATGTAGAATATCTAGTGAAATCTCTGTCAAATCTGTACAGCTGAAATTAAAGTTTTTTGTTTTGTTTTTTTTTTGTCAGAAATCGAATCTTTCTTCCAACTTTCAGTGTCTCAAGTGTCGTGATGCCTTGCAAAATCAAAAGGAGGCGTGTAGATTGGGAGAGAGGGCATGGCCCTTGATGATATTATTGTTTTAGTCCTTTCCTGCTAAATGTTGTCTTTTGATTACTGGGTGCAGTCAGCCTAAGTAAGCACCTTAATTAGGACTTTTCTTTTTGTCCCCACCCCTCCTGTATCTTATGACCCTTCTGCTGTCTTAGTATATAAAAGCGCACACAGAGTCAGTGAGACCCTGCCAGACCACAGAGTACAAAACCGTGGGGTCTAAATGAACCCCGTCTCTTAAGGCCGCACGAGGGTTAAGAAATTTCAAATGACAAGCCTTCTGCCGCATAACTCTCCAGCGATGGAGTGCTGCGAGAGGTCTTGACAACTTCAGTTTTTCAGACATATTTTCAAGAAATTAGGGAACAAAGGTGGAGATTATTCAATTACGGTTCACAGAGGCCCATAAGGCCGAGACCCCAATTTCCAAAACCGTACCAGTGCAGAGAACAGCACCTTATGCCTGATATGAAAAATATGTACATTTGGTTTGGATTTGAGGTTCAATTTAAGGTCAGTGCTGTTGCTATTTTTAAGGTATATTAATATTTTTATCCCCTAGCTGTGACAAAAATAAGCCATTGTTAGACCTTGCAATGCAATACGCGAACTTCTGCACACAAAGCTAAAAGGTTGTTTTTTTTTTTTTTGGGGGGGGGGGGGGTTTCCCCCCCCCAAAAGCCCAACCGAA